GGTTTTTTGTTGTTGCGAAGACAATATTTCTATATCTCTTTATGTGTTACACAGATAGACTATTTAGCAGACTATCCCGACTGACTCTAATGTCGGAAAGAACAACCAAACTGTAAATTCAGCATACATCGAAATATGTGTAATTTATATAATAACTTATCCAAGCCTATACAATTGGTATGTTCCTGCATAAACAGGAATAAATCAATATATAACTCATTTTATTTTTAGTCGGAAACTGATCTCACTCGTTGTATATCAGCGGAATTAGACTCGCTGGTAATCAATAAATCTAGGATCCTTGATTTTAATTAACACGACTCCGAATGACGTTTTCCCAATTGAAACATTATTAAGATGGGCATATAATGGATTCTGAGGACAAAAAGTACAAAGGCTTGCTGTCTTAATCCGTAAGCAAAGACGTCCAGGGACTCGTGCAAGTCACTCCACAACCAGTACACCAGAGTGTGGGGTGCGGGCTTCATGATCAAACGGGTGTATTATTTGATTTTTCAGATAGGAATTTTTCCATAAATTCTGCATTTAGGAAGGTTTCGGCATCTTCAATGTTCTGCTGGGAGAGCTGGTTCGAAATTCTCGAAGAATACGGCTGAAATTTATGTATTATGCGTAATATGTTTTTATTCTGTGCATCGCATTGCATTTCAGAAATAAATATCGGTCGACTTTCTGAGGATGTATAAGATTTACACACATTTGCTCTAGGTAGACATTCCCTTTGCGTTAATCCAATGAATGGAATTTTTCGCATCCTACTAGAAGTCTGAAGATTTCCATATTGTTATCAAATCACCTATTCATGATAGACGAATTAATGCCCTAGTGAAATAATCGATTTACGTTCTTTAACGAACAAAACACTGAATTCTAAATCTTAAAATTAATCAGTGCATTGTTGCAGTTGTCTTAATTCCCTTCTAGTGTTTCTCCTGTTACTTGTTTTCATTCTACGCGGCACAGTAGCATTTATATGTTTAGGAATTCGCATTCTCAAGTAACTATACAGAGCGCACCCCTTTACCTCGTTAAGCCAGAACTATAAAGCTGGCGAAGTGAGAAGGTTAGGCATGAGGCTAGCAACCCATCCTGTAAAAATAAAGACTGCTACAGAAACTTCAAGCCTCTAGCTTGAAGCTCTATGTTCCACTGGGAACGTAAAGGAATAAAAAAATACAGAGCACTTCTGTAAATTATTAGTGGGGTTTATTTCTGGAAAATAATGTTTTTACTCTTGTCTGAAGAAGAATAGTTTACATTATCCAAAATCTTGCTGAAAAGTCTCAAGGAAATTGCATGAATCGTTGTAAATGGACCTAACTACATGAGAGTTCACTAAAAGTGGCTATTGATTTACAGTAAATATGAATTATATTAGGTTTTGTAAACACAGGTTCGAAATATATGTCCCTTAGAACCGAAATATGAATTCTTGTTGAACAATTATATGTAGCGTCCGTATTGTAACGTATCCTTCATGGCAATGCCCAGTTATCAGTATCACCTGGCTGTAATGGAACTAATTTTAACTACCGAAGCAATGACTTTTTTTGGCATTCCAAAACGCACCATCAGTGATACTATTTCCTCTCAGAAAGTCGCTTTTATGCTCTTTAGAATTAAACGGCACATGGCTTTAAGGACACCTCTATGAAACGATGTGCGATGGCTTTATCTGGAAGTACCTGTCACCATTACTAGTTGTGTGGAACATCATAAGAAACCAGTTAGTTAAGCTGTCTGAACGAATCCGAGGTCGCCTCCAGTTGGTTTCGAGTATATATAGCGCTCACGACTGATATCTAGGTATCTGTGCTACTAGAACTGATCTCTGGCCACATTAGCTTACTCTTAAGCTTGGCCCACCTAACCTGGAAACAATGCTGTTCTCAACACCGCTCCAACATGCGCAGGGAGAATATAACACCTGTGGTTGCTGAAAAGTGTATTGATTCACAATAATTTGAAGATGGTGTAAAGATACACGGTCATACCACAACGAAGCTGCCGAGCTCTTGTCCTTTGAAAATCCAATAATCTGACTTGTTCTTCAGTCCACAGAGATAAGCAAATTATTCATTGAAAGTTTGATTGATCTGAATAACTTCTCTGATCCTCTACAATGCTTCATGTGCTGTGGCTGGTGTGAGTACGGAAAAGGACGTAACCACCCTCATAGTGATAAATACAAATACCTCAGTTTCTGACATCACACCTAAAAGAAGGTCGGCAACTGCTGATTACCAAATTTATTAGCATGTTACAAGTGTGATTTACTTCTATCTGCACGTATACCACATGTTCGAGCACTAGGTAACATATTAAAACCAGTCAGTAACCGAGCAATACTTTTTGTTCAAACAGCCCAGTGGCTAGTAGCCCAATTTATTGTTATCTTTACCGAATCCGCCCTCAGCTGTGTTGGTGTTGGAGTGCTCCCCAGCCACACAGTAGGTCCGGGTTTGGTTCTCATTCGATATACTCACAAACCTCGCGTCAAGATTACTTGTTGGTAGTAAACCCAGAGAATATAGAAGGTTGTGCATGAGGCTAGTAACCCCGTCCCATCAACAAAATACCGCTGCTACCGAAAGGCTCCAAAGCCTGAAGCCCTACTTCTTACTCGAGAAACAAAAGAGGGAAAAACTCATCTTTCTGACAAAATGTGAATCACTGGGCTCTATACACAACTTATTCGCACAGTAATCCTAGACGGACGTATCTTGGATGTACTTTTGTGGAATGCTTGCATTTCTTATTTCTGATTGTATATATAGAAATGGAGCGTATGGAGGCTGTCATTAATTTATTTCGAAACTGTTGAATTCATAAGACTAGCCAACCTTTACATTTAAAACTGTGAATGTACATTCGCGAAGTAATGCAGAAATCTACCCCTGCATATTCTCCATGACCAGCTTCCACTACATTTAATAAAATTAATAATTATAAAATCAGCTTCATATTTCGTTTATTCGTGTGCTTTTCCACCGATAAATAAGCAAAAGTTTGGTTTACAGGCTTGCTTAAAGCAGGCATATGACGTACAGTTTCGCCTAATTATCGTTGATAGAACATACTCCATATTTTCAAACATAACAAATTGATAGCTCAGTATACTCAGATATTAACAGCGCTTTATTGCAACAAAGTGAATACTCCGATCCAATACTAATGTACTTATTTATTTTGCTTTGACCATCAAAAGTTAAATTTCCAAATAACATTTATTAATTGCGTCTGAGGAGTTACCTTACGACAAAAAATAAATGATATATAAAGTAAATGTTGTGATGTATTAAATTTGACTACTCGCGTAGACAATTATTCACCCCAATAAAATTTATTGTTATTAACAATTATTATCAACTAATTATTCAGGTAGCATAATGTAAAGAAACAGGCTACTTGCGACGGAAGAGTCACTGTGAAAGAACTAATCATCTAAAAATACTAAAGCTAGGGAAATTTGCTCAAAAGAACATCCTACTACAAGAATTGTCGTTAGTATGCAGTCATCTAAAGCATGAGGTGACGGATAGTATGGTTGGAAGTGACTGCCTGAGAGTTATTAGGATTGAATTTTCAGGCAGGACCTTAATCGATCCTGATCAAGTTGGACTCACTACGTCTAAGAAGCCATATGTGTTGTTGGAGAGGAACGGAGCTCGCTTATTCGCCGGTTCTGATTCGGAAAGGTGCTGTTATTGGTTATGTAAGCAGTTAACAGACTGAGATCTTGATCGCCCAAGTGGTTGACTCCTGCAATGAGGTGGTCCGGCTGATCTTAGTTTGGTGACCGAATCATGAAGAAGGATAATGCTTACCGCTCCTGAATGATGCACGCCGGCTCACAGAATAAAATAGGATCATAAGAATTGACAAATAAGACAGTGAAACTACCATACTCTTGTCCCCACCAAACCTAGATGTATCCACCACATACCTCACTCCTGAAAATGGCTACGAAGTTACATCCACACTGCATTAGTCTCACCTAATTTCATCCAAGCTATTAGTCTGCCACTCCATCATCTCTTCCAACCCCGCTTTTGTTTTAACTCATTTATTCGTTTCCGTCTCCTTTTTATTCATTTTTGATGCTGCAATTTCATCCTCTTAAACCATACTGAATGATACTACTCCAATCACATCAGTGCCACTATCTTAATTCCAACTACAAACCACTCTCTAAGTTAAACTAATGTACACCACTACAGCTGCAGATGAGTGGAGGGATAGGCTAAGAAACCAGTGGTTAACCTTAGTCTATAAGTAGCATACCGGATGTGGAATACGAAAAAGATTCACTCAAAAAGGTATTTTAGTGTAGCGCATTTTCACATTGTGAAACTAAATATAGATAATGGCATAGTTTTTAGTGAAAAATTTGAATTGTATGTGACTGAATATAGACGGAATAGGAAATCCCCGCCATTACAACGTGGTAATAAAACAACAGCGTATATTTGAAAAGCTATGTCGGTAGAAATCTCACCTACGACTCAATCGAAGTATATACATTGACTAATCCAAGTGTTTTGATATGGTATGTTTTTACTAGGTCGACTGTGCACGAGTTTACACTTAACTTTCCTCTAATTAACACTTAAGCCGACTGCATATGAAGAGCCCACGAGAAGTGAAAGTTACGAAACAGAGAACAGTTCGCGTGTACTTACGGTACAAAATAATATACTGAAATAGAAATAGCAGCCAAACTACCATAACCTGTCTCACATAAAATTTCCCAAGACAAAACCTCCAGTGAAATTTACTTTCCATGTATTAAAATTGCTACATTTGTTGAGGATCACAACGTGGCATTTTAAGGAGGGATATTCTCCTTTTAACTGGCCCTATTAAGACAGTCTAATCACTCCCTACCTACGTTTTTGGGATGCAAAAGTTTCATACACTGAGTGTGTATTTAGTAAACGGTGTAAATATGTTTAGTTAAAGCATTTAACCCTCTCTCTCACTATCGCTGGCGCGCGGGTTTAGAATATACTCTCAGCTGACGGTAGTTTTAGGTTTTTGTTATGAAAACAAGGGGTTCTCAATATAATTCTGATTTAAAAAATACAAACACTTCGAAAAAATCTTTAAACGCAAAAAATGCTCGGTCTCATCGTGAAAACACTCGAAAACGAAGTAAAACAAAGCGTATAAGCCGTACAAAACGAAGAAGGACGTCCGAAGTTTACAAGTCAAGTCATTTGGTAGGTCGCAGAAAAGCGTCTAACTTTGTTACATACACTCAAAATGGGCGTCTTTTCTATGACATTTATGTTAGGGAATCCCCGTACAATAGTAGTAAAGTCATCTCAACGAACCAAAGTGAAAATATCATTGCTGATGCAAGACTGCCAAATGGTACAAAGCGACGCAAGAAAAGTGTTGGTGTAGGGGGTCTTGAAGATGGAAAAGATTTGACCTCAAAGGCATTAGTGAGAACAAAGTCAACAGTTTTGAAACGAACAGTCCAGTCAACCTCCACTAATGTTCAGCCTGCTAAACTATTAAAGAAACCTCGTGGACGTAGAAAGAAGAATCCTGACATCGACAGGACACTTACTAGAGAGTTGGGTCCAAACTATGCATCCCCTGACCAGGATCATGGCAAGAGACTTGCAAGTCTCAATGCGACTGCCATTATGGGTGCTTTTAATTCTAAATCCTCTCGCAAAAAATGTCGGAAAAGTAACGGAGAAACAAACTTTCATTCACAGCCAGATTCTTCAGTCAGTTGCCTTCATGCAGATGAAGTGGATGATGCAACCACGGAACCTATGTGCTCAGCTGATGATGATTATGATTTGGCTCACTGCTTGGAAACGCCTAGTTCAGTAAGTATCGAGCCAAACAATGTGATCCCGGCACAAAATCCTATTCTGAATAAAGAAACTGCACCGTCGTCCTTCAAAAGTATCTGTCAAATGAATCCAGCAATCGAGAGCTTTCATTCACAAAGAATTATACCACTAGGACATGACACGTACGGTGTTCAGCAAATTACCCATCAAGTCGTAGTAGTACCACCCACAAACGAAGTATCTCAAACTGTATGTCAACCTAAAGTACAAGATTTCAATACTCCAATAGCGCGTGTACCAGCAGGTAGTGTTGTTTCTTTCCCTACATTACCATACTCGAAACCAAATGACTGCAGTTTCAATGAGACAGTATTGCACCAGAGAACGGGTCAAGTTTTGTACAGCCCAATGTGTCCTTCCTTGTTGCAACAAAATGTAAATTCTTGGGGTTCTGCACTACCTTGCATTACAACACCGAACATGACGCCGTCATTTTTCGCTTGTTCGCCTCCTAATATTCTTCTTCCACATATTACTTCGTCGTTTGTTGTTTCTAATCCTAGTGTTACACCTCAGATTGCGTATCCACTCATTTTGCAGCCTGTTCCTAGTATGCCAACATCTTACATGAGTTCCGGGTTTCCCTATGGATTTGTATCTCCTGTCTTCTTACCAACATCGTGGACTCAACCTGGTATGCTACCTTGCCAACCGCCTAGTACCCCGGTTAACAACAATAGTGACGCTTCATACCCAATGATGATTGCACCCGCACAAATGATCCCGATTAACCAAACACAAAATTTCCAAGTCTCGCTTAATCCATGTACGAATTGGATATCAAATGGAGGGTTCGACGTGGCGTTAAATAGACCCATGGTTGTGCAGAATGCATGTCGTGGTTCGGAACAGGCAGCTTCAGAACACGATGGCAAGTCATTTACAGATGATCCATCGGTATGTAATTCTTCTTTTCACGTGGTGAACAATTGTCCTGTTGTCTCTTGTGAAGCACCAGTTATTAACCGTCAGGAAGAGGATATCACCTTGGTTCCAGCTTCCAATCCATCTATATTACCAATACGAGTTGAGAACGTACCATTAGACGAAGTTAGTTCTGCAGAAACACGAGATCTGAATATTTGCTGCACAAAAGAACCGGATCAGAGTACTGTCTGCTTGGATAATCAAAAAGATGCTTGGATATGGGAAGGGGAACCGTTTGTCAAACCTGTTTTTCACCAAGTGAGTTATTTTTTGTGTTTCTACCATCCCATAAATCAGTTTCATTTGCACGCGAAAAGCGCATATTTTTCATTTCCGTGTTTTTACGACTCACATTTTACACTCATGCGTATTTATTACACAATCATATTTCCATAAATTTTAATTTCTGTCTTTATAATTTTTCCACTTCAGTAAATCGTAGGATATAAAACTAATGTATATTTGCGTGATGTCTTGCCGTCTGAATACGTGGAGAATTCTGCAGTTACTGCTTGGACATTAATGTGTGCTTAATTTTCTCCTACTCCGTTAACCTACACCTATGGTTGGATTTACTAGTTATTTTATTAGGTCAAGTTAAACATCTGAGGTGTGAGGACAAATTGTCAGTATGTAACCGATTTTAATTAGATAACTTCTCTACCTGTTTCTAAGATATTCAATCATTTTCATGTTGAATTAGCTCGTAGATGCCACTTGACATGAGTAAGCTAATTGTTAAAGTGCTGTTTTCAGTCTTGTTCTAGGTGAACAGACAGACCACTGTATAATTTCGCATGGAGATGCATTAGAAGTTGCCAAACTCCACAATACAAAAATGTAGCGAACAAAAGACATGATCCAATAGCGAATAAAATATCCATATGAAAGATATTTCAGGATGATAAAGAGTAATTACATGCGAACAACAATGTGCAAACCAGCCAAATCACATTGTCTTGAACTTGAAGTTTAATTTCTACATTAAGTTTTCTGTAGTTTCATTACTGCAGAGGAACCTATAATCAAAAAAGCCTGTGATTTTTCCATAACATATACTTTCAATGACTGTTCCTGAGAGTGAAGTTTGTGTGTATTCATTATGATTGTCTTTTAAAAAATGGCTAACATACTTAGGAGACTTAAATAATTTATGAAAATGCCTAGGTAGTATAAAACTTGGGCAACCTGGTAGAGTATAACTCCATTGTGGATAAGATTTTATTTTGACAAATCACAGTGTTGTACGGTAATATTTACTGATGACGTTTCGAGCACAAATTATTGCTCATAATCATATCAATTCATTTGATATGATTTTAAGCAATAATTTGTGCTCGGGGAATCAGAGGAAGTCCCGTCGGGTTGGTGTAAGTCATTGATTATCCAAATATACAAGAAGAGAGACAAGTCTTCCTGTGATAATCACAGAGGGATTAGCTTGACTAATATAGTATCTAAAATCCTAGGCTCAATAATCATGTGTAGACTAAGTGGTGCTCGGGAGGCACAAACACGAGAAATCCAGGCAGGTTTTAGACCAGGAAGAGGGTGTATTGATCATATCTTCACCCTTCGACAGATTCTGGAACACAGGCGTACTTACCGGCGTCCGAAAATCGTCATATTTTTTGACCTTAATTCGGCATTCGATTCTGTCGACCGAGAGGTACTCTGGCGATGCTTGGCTGTAAAAGGAATGCCGAGAAAATACGTTGCACTGCTCAAGGCACTCTACTCGAACTCATGCAGCCAACAGAGAACTTATGGCGAGTTTTCATCTGAACTGGTGACAACTAGTGGTGTCCATCAGGGATGCCCACTATCCCCAAATCTATTCGATTTCATCATAGATGTACTGATGGACTTAAACCTAAGTGACTCAGGGATTGACTTTTTACCAGGGAATAGCCTCGTAGACTTAGAATATGCAGATGATATAGTCCTTTTAGGTGAAGACGCTGACAAAATGCAGAATCTTCTGAACGCCTTGAGCAGCAATCTGCTAATCTTTGGCATTCGATTCGCTCCCGCCAAATGTAAGATGATGCTACAGGACTGGACTGGACTACATTTAACTCCTGGCTTAGAAATAGGGAGTGAAGTTGCATCAGCTGGTGTCAGCGAGTTGATGGCTGACGAAATCTCAGCACGCAAACAGAAGGCTCGTTTGGCATATGCCAGTTTACACCGTCTCTGGCGTGGATGTGATATCCTGCTGGCTCTCGACCAAAGGACGTGTTTACTGCTCAGCAGTCCGCTCCGTCCTCCTTTATCGCTGTGAAATATGGACACTGGAAGTAGAAGATATGAAGAGGCCAGCCGTCTTTGATCATAGGTGCCTGAGTTCTATCTCCCGTGTTACGTGGTATAATAGGACGAGTAATATTGAGGTTAGGCTTGGTCGAGTGCTAGGTAAGGAGGAGAAATCAATCGACGAGACTGTGAAGCTACATCCGCTGAGAAGGTTAGGACATGTATTACGCATGTCTAGCCATCGATCACCTTCCTCGATGAACAATGGTAGTTGACATAGGGTCAGGTTGGAAAAGATCTAGCACATGGTGGTCAAACCAAAACATGGCAACAGTCAATGAAATCCACAACAGTTAGTTTCAGCCACGTAAGAAGGTGTAGACTTCCAGGTTGGGGTCCTCGGGACGGTAAAATCCAATGGTTGGAGACGATTGGTGATATAGCTCAAAGTCGTTCTCAATGGCTGACGCATATGCATCCACTCCTTGTGACTTGTAATTTCCAATGAAACTATATTGCTCTTCGTTATTACTATTCTTTTTGTCTCATATTCTTGTTTACTGTCTCTAGTTTGTATTTCTTCTCTTGCTTTGTGTGCTACATGGAGTGTGGCGACTTGAACTGCTGCACATCAGTGCAAAGTTCTATGTTGAAACCAGTCAGTCAGTCAATTTGTGCTCGAAACGTCATCAGTAAATATTACTGTACAATACTGTGTGATTTATCGAAATGAAATCTCATCCATTATGCTTAGTTAGTCGTTTTAGAAATCCATGAAAACTGGTCGGGGTTGTCTAGATCTCATTAGCTTGCATTTTATCTTCATTCCTAAACAGACATGGCACATTTTCCTGCATGTTGGTTAAACAGCAAATTTTAGTCGTATTACCAGTGTGAGTTTAGTGTGTTTCTCATTTAAAAACCTGCTTCTCGTTATGTTTGAATGTAACGGGATTCAAACATCCTTTGGACATGAGCTTTTATGGTTTGGAGATAATCTAGAGATATTACGACTAAGACTGTTTCAATACATGTATTTTACTGTGAACAGCCTCACCTGTGAATGAATCATGCGTTACTCATACACACCGTAGCACGATATTTGATATTTCATTAATTCCACTCCATTGCATTTAGTGTGAGGTATTAGTAATTAGAATATTGTAGGGTTATGCTTATTTTTTGAATTCGATGTGTGCAGTGATATGTTACCTACTTTTTTCTTGTCAGTCTGACTCACCTCCGATACCTCGTGAATGTTACCCTGCAATCCGGCATCGAAGAGATGGAATGGTGATTCGTGTGAAAGATAATGTACTACTGTGCAGTGGTCCTAGTCGAAGTCATCCTCCGCATGTTGCGAAAATTGTTGCTCTGTATTATGATAAAAATACAGGTATGTATTTTTTTTAACTTGTATCTATCTAAATATTTTATCTAAACAACATTTTTTGTTTTAAAGAAGTGCCACTTATTTAAGCTATTCATAACTGGTGAGGAAAATAGTTCAACTGTAAATAATGAAATTATCGGAAAGTTACCTCTGTTGTACTTTTTGTCATCTGTAATGACTTAATGAATGTTTTTGTTACGTTTGAGCGAATCCCATATTGAAATCCTGCCGGACTTCGGTCAGAGCAGCTAATTTTTGTGTTAAGTCTTTCATACATAAAGCGTGGTTCACAAATTAGTACATAAAACTATCCGTGTAAAGTAATTAAGTTGCATTACTTTTATTATTAGTGATCACACAAATATAGTTCTTGATATTAATATGATAATTCAGTTCTTCAGAAATTCTATTTTCAGACAGTGGGTTACAGGTCTAGACTGTTGGAATCTAGACACTTAGATGGCATAACTTTCATGTAACGAATGTGGCTTATAGTCTAATACACAAACTTATTGCTTAGTGGCATACTAGACTGAATGTTATGTGCATGGATTATCTCAAACAGTTCACTTATGAATCAAGACAAATAACTTCAACTGTAACACTGGGAAAGGGTGAGTTGTAAAATTCTCTTTATAAGTGACGCTTAGACTGAATAAGTCTATACTTATTCCATATCTTTATTACCGCTATATCTTTTTGGCACATCTCTTGACACCCGTATCGCACCGAGTTTGTGTTTAAGTAGACGAATAAACGAAACAACATTTTGATTTTGTTAAAGAACATTACAGATCTTTACACTATGAGCTAGTTCTTAAATCAACATTGAAATAACAAATATGTACCATTCGTCTGTAGTTATGAGGGCGACCTGTCTGTGTAGATTCTTCATGACTTCCAGTATCAGATTAGATTATTTGGTAGCTGTGATCGTACATATTTACGGTTGATGAGCCTTCTACATACCTACATCTCTGCCGTCATAGATTTAAAGAATATATTCTCCTAACCTTTTCACAATTCTAAGAATCTGTAATCCTCGTTGTTTGATTGTCACTTTTTCTATGTAGATACGAAAATGATGTCTCTGCTTTGGTACTATCGTCCGGAACATATAAATGGTGCAGCGCAAAATTTCGTGAAAAACGAACTTTATGCAAGCAGACATCGTGATACTAATCCACTGGATTGTATAGAAGATAAAGCCTTCGTCCTTTCTGTTAATGCATATTCTCGGTATATGGCAAAAGTTAAACGTCAACAGGTAATAATTTTTCCTTTCTTAATCGTCTGCTATTCAGTTTAAAAATAAATAAAGAAGGGAGTCAGTATCCTTACTGGTTAAATATTTTATTAATTACATTGAAAGTTCTAACCAAACAGACTAAGCTGCACCATATAAAAAAATGTTGGCTATCACAGACTGCCTTTGTTTAGTTGCTTAGAATAAGGCCTTGTTTTGGGAGAATGTCAACAGTCAATTTATCTTCAGTATGAAGTGAGTTTACTTTTTCTATACTAATACTCAGCAGTGTTCGTAAGCATGCACAGTCCACTAGTTGTTTTAAGCGATTTAGCAACTGCATTGATATTCATGTCACCGACATACTTATGAAAATTATCATTCTTGTTTGTTATCGGCTTCAGGTGTCGTTACAATCATTATATTTCTTGACTTAAAGGCGGCATTCGATTCTGTCGACCGAGAGGTTCTCTGGCGATGCTTGGCTGTAAAAGGAATGCCGAGAAAATACATTGCACTGATTAAGGCACTCTGCTCGTACTCATGCAGCCAACAGAGAACTTATGGCGAGTTGTCATCTGAAGTGGTGACGACTAGTGGCGTCCGTCAAGGATGCCCATTATTCCTATTTCTATTCAACTTCATCATAGACGTACTAATGGACTTAACCCTAACTCACTTCAGAGACTCAGCCCGGCCGATAGCTGCTTCCTTGACGTGGTGGTCGGGCTTGCATATCGCAATGACCCAACGAGCTACACTGGCTGGAACGTATGTTCCTGTAGGTCCTACCATGCCAGAAAGGTTGTTTGGATAGCGGTTAGACAAAAAGCAGCTACCCAATCCTACACTATGATTCAAACAAATCCACAATATATGCCGGATCGGTCGGGGCCCGGATTAACAACGACCGCGCTTTCTGCTGCCGTGTCACAGGGCAGAAGTGATAAATACGCTACTGAGACACACCAAATGAATAAGAACAAACAAAATCAGGCCACGTGTGACCGGCCTCAAGCAGTTGTCCCCTGGGCTCTGCGGTCACGCAACACTAACCTCTTCTCCATTTCAGGTACCCGAAGACCCAACCAACTTCCACGGTGTGGGCAGCCGGGAAGTAACAACCGCCCACACACTTCCAAAAGCACACGAAGCCTACCTGAGCATCACTCTCCCCTACTTACATCACCTTCCTCATCTCGCTTCTCTACTACAGCTAGCACTATTCTTCAGGCTAGTGAGTCATCTTCACTTCACTCTGCGTCCACAAACAACGATGAGAGCCATAGAAACAACCCAGATAGCCTTTTAAAGCCACGTCGCCAACTTCATATAGGAGCTTTTAACGTCAGGACCCTCTGCCAAATTGGACAACAGGCATCACTAGCAAGAACCCTGGAATCTAGAACCATGGATGTATGTTGTTTTTCGGAGACACGCATACAAGACCCGAGCGTGGTCATTCACTTGACCTCACCCAGTCAACAAGTTGAATCTGCAAAATTCACTTTAAGGGTGTCGGGAGACCCCTCAGCTAGCTCACGAGGACTCGCAGGTGTAGGGATAGCACTGAGTGTTAGGGCGGAAAAATCACTTCTTGACTGGATACCAGTACATAGTCGTATGTGCGCAGTCCGTCTGAACGGGTCCGTTGAAAGAAGGAAAGACGACGCTACCCGTCGTTGCCTTTTCGTAGTCTCCGCTTACGCCCCAGCAGACTGCAGTTCGGATGAATTACAAGATGACTTCTACCGGAAACTGTCTAATTTGCTGCAAAAAGCAAAACGTTCAGACATAGTTGTTTTAGTAGGCGACTTCAATGTCCAAGTAGGGAAGTTGTGCCAGACTGAGAAGTATGTAGGTGGTACGTATGGAGTTCCCTGCCGACGAACCGACAACGGTGATCGTCTTCTCCAGTTTTGCTCAGATAATCACCTGTTCCTAGTCAGCACTAACTTTAGGCACAAAGAAAGACATTGTGTAACCTGGCGACCTCCATCACCAAATCAACGCTGGACTCAGATAGACCACATAGCCATAGGGTATCGTTGGCGAGGGTTAGTAGAAGACTGTCGCTCCTTCTGGAACATGTGCGTAGACTCTGACCACGCTCTGGTTCGCGCACGTTTATGCTTACGACTAAATGAACATAAGAAATTGACGGCAACGAAACAGTTACGTCCCCAACTAGATCGTGACACTGAGTCCTTATTTAAGGAAGAAATAACGAAACTAGTTTCTAAGGTCGACAGCAGGACTTCCCCTGAGGTAGCCTGGCACAACATACAGTTAGCTGTGGACACAGCCGTGAAAGCTGTCAATAAGCTAAAACCTAAAGTTAATAGAAGCCACTGGATCTCTACCGCCTCATCCGAATTGATCGACGCAACAAGACTGATTCCAGCGAGCTCCGATTATGATGAGGAGCGAAAGGTACTTAAACGAAGACTAACAAAAAGTCTTCGCAAGGACCGTGAACAGTGGTGAGCGACAAAAGCGAAAGAGATGGAAAAGGCATCGGCGATTGGCAACACCAGACAACTATTCAGGCTTATCAGGGAAACAGGTGGCAAAAGGCAAATGATAAGCGAAACAATCTCTGATAAAAATGGCACAATAATTAGCTCCCAGGATAGACGTCTGGAGCGCTGGAAAGAACACTATGAGGAGCAGTTTAATTGGCCTACAGCCACACTTAACCTGCCGAACATCCAACACCTCCCTGAATGAGATATAGACACAGGTCCTCCGTCCTTAACTGAGGTTACTAAAGCTGTCACTAATCTGAAGCAAGGCAAAGCAGCGGGACCTGATGGAATGACTCCAGAGGTATTTAAGTACGGTGGAGACAGTTTACTGTCTGCGTTAACTGAGGTTCTAGGCAGCGTCTGGGAATCAGAGGAAGTCCTATCGGGTTGGTGTAAGTCACTGATCATCCCGATATACAAGAAGGGAGACAAGTCTTCTTGTGATAATCACAGAGGGATTAGCTTGACTAATATAGTATCTAAAATCCTAGGCTCAATAATACTACGTAGACTAAGTGGTGCTCGGGAGGCACAAACACGAGAAAACCAGGCAGGTTTTAGGCCAGGAAGAGGATGTATTGATCATATCTTCACCCTTCGACAGATTCTAGAACATAGGGATTCCTACCGGCATCCGACAATCACTATATTTCTTGACCTAAAGGCGGCATTCGATTCTGTCGACTGAGAGGTTCTCTGGCGATGTTTGGCTGTAAAAGGAATGCCGAGAAAATACATTGCACTGATTAAGGCACTCTACTCGAACTCATGCAGCCAACAGAGAACTTATGGCGAGTTTCCATCTGAACTGGTGACAACTAGTGGTGTCCATCAGGGATGCCCACTATCCCCAAATCTATTCGATTTCATCATAGATGTACTAATGGACTTAACCCTAACTCACTTCAGCGACTCAGGGATTGACTTTTTACCAGGGAATAATCTCGTCGACTTAGAATATGTGGACGATATAGTCCTTCTAGGCGAGGACGCTAACAAAATGCAGAGTCTACTGAACACCTTGAGCAACAATCTTCGTATGTTTGGCATGCGATTCGCCCCTGTAAAATGTAAGATGATGCTGCAGGATTGGACTACACCGACTCCTAGATTAGAAATAGGAAGTGAAGTGGTAGAACACGTTGACCGCTTCACTTACTTGGGAAGTACCATCAGCCAGTGCCAACGGGTTGATCTCCGACGAAATCTCAGCACGAATACAGAGGGCTAGTTTCGCATATGCCAGTTTACGCCGTCTCTGGTGTAGACGTGATATCCGGCTATCGACCAAAGGGCGTGTTTACTGCTCATCAGTCCGCTCCGTCCTCCTTTATGATAGCTGTGAGACCTGGCCATTGAGAGCAGAAGACATGAAAAGATTAGCTGTCTTCGATCATAGGTGTCTGCGTTCTATCTCCTGTGTAAAGTGGTATAATAAGGTGAGTAATATTGAGGTGGTTAGGCATCGGTCGAGTGCTAGGTAGGGAGGAGAAATCAATCGAAGAGGCTGTGAAGCTACATCAGTTGAGATGGTTAGGACATGTGTTACGTATGCCCAGCCATCGCCTTCCTCAACGGGCAATGTTAGGTGACATAGGGTCAGGTTGAAAAAGATCTAGCACATGGTGGTCAAACGAAAACATGGCACCAGTCAATGAAATCCACAACAGTTAGTCTAAGCCACGTAGGAAGGTGTAGACTTCCTGGTTGGGGCCCTCGGGACGGTAAAAACCAGTGGTTGGAAACAATTGGTGACATGGCTCAAAATCGTTCTCAGTGGCGCAGATGCATCCACTCCTTGTGACTTATGATTTCCAATTAAACTGTTTTGTTCTCCGTTATTACTATTCCTTTGTCTCACACCTCTGTTTACTGTCTATATTATGCATTTCTCTTACTTTCTTCTCTTGCTTTGTGTGCTACATGGAGGGAGTGTGGCGACTTGAACTGCCGCACATATGTGCATTGCAACACGACATTTGAAAATAAAATATTTGTATCATAGATACTGCATTAAATAAAATTTTGATTTTTATTGAATTGTGTCTTTTATTATGATAATTTTTAGACTGGTTATCGGAAGATGCCACTTAGCTCTATTGTACCTCAACCTGTCAATTGTAGTCTACACACTACTAGTGACAGTGTAAATGTTGATAACCTGTACATGGATAAGGTAAGTTCAGATTAACTGAAACTTTCCTTATTGTTGTTTGTATACATTCTTTACTCACAGCGATTTGACTCTATATCTCAATTGTGAAATTGCCAACATGTTTATGCACCAAATTATCAGTTATATGCTATAAACTACCCAAACAGCAATCCGTACTGTAAATGTACTAGTAACCTTAAAGCTGATAAGTAAATCTAAAGATAATTAGACTGTGCGTCGGTGGCATAGCGGTTAGGACGCTCGCCGACCATGCACGTGGTCCGGGGTTCGATCCCCGGCCGACGCACTCCTTTACCTCGCTGAGCCAGAAATAATGCTGGTAAAGAGGAAAGGTTGGGCCTGAGGCTAGCAAACCCATCCTGTAAAATAAACACTGCTACAGAAACTTCAAGCCACTAGCTTGAAGCCCTATGTTCCACTGGGGAAAGTGAAGGAAAAAAAAGATAATTAGACTAGCAGTGTTCTGTTTACAGCATGGAAACTTTAAGTATAATTGATAGTGAATAGTAAAGTTCTTTTTATTGTTTAATAATTTGTCTGCTTAAAATGTGTAAAATATTTACACGTGGGTATATTTTACAATGGATCGTATATTCCTTCACAACCTGTTTTCTTCACACAGAATTTAAACAGTCATTCACTTTATTTTGTTGAAAACTAAGGCACTGTGGAACCTAACACTTGAAATAAATTACACCGAATGCTAACTTTGTAACATACAAAGACCATAAAACTCATAAAAATTCGCACTTATTTATCTGAATCAATATTCTAGCTCAGCTAGTCAACTGGTCAGGGAAGAAGAGTAATAAAGTTGTAACAGAACATATTTCTAGCTGATATAAATATTCGGGAACAACATACTTCGTCAGGTGCAATAAAAATGTTTACTGCATTCACAAATATAAATCTGAAGTATATGTGACGTTTAGGTCCCAGCGTTGATTGAGATGTAGATTAATGTATAGCATATATATATGCTATTAGATATAAGAAATATGTTCATGTTTTAGGATGCTGATTAGCCATGTGGAAGGTCCCGTTTACTTCCCTACTGACGCACTCGTAGTCCTCGCCTAGTTTACTGGCTAGTAGTTAGCTCGGATGGGAGAGATCGCTTGGTGAGCAATAAGGCTAGCAATCCCTCCCCACCTCTTAAAAACAACACTGTTATAGAAACTCCAAAACATGTTCCACTCTGTATGCAAGAGATGAAAGGAGAAAATTCCTATCTAGAAGAGATTTCCATTTAGAAATATGAAACGACGTATTGTCTTCCTAAAACATGATTTCAAAGGGTAATGAGATCTGTAGCAGAAATATTTGTGAAATAAATGTTCCACTAAAAAGCTACTCGATTGATTACTGTTTAGTGGAACAAAATGTTTGCCGGAGTATTATTATTATTGTTCCCTTGAGTTCTGAGCGGAGCATAGGGCTTCAACAACACATCTCCACTTTGTTCTATTTTCTGCCGTCCTCCTTAGGTGGGCCCACGATTGCCAAACATCTCTTATCTCCTCCTCACACGGTCTCCCCCATGTCACCTTAGGACAGCCCGCTAGGATTCCACACGAGAGCTGGCCTGGCGCGCGATGTCATTTGACGGTCTCCTCAGACAATGCCCAATCCATCTCCATTATTTGTTGAACGATAAGAGTAATATATAAAAGTGATAAATTCACCTTTCATGTTACTCTAACTGTGTAGACATTCTAAGGCGTAGATATTAGACTCATAAAACTTAAGATTTTAAACATTTTTCAATATGTAATGGGTGTAAAATCGTCGTTCAAAATTATTAAAGGATAATTAATATACAAGTCAAGTCGAGTATATTGCATTTTGTTGAAACTTTAGAACTATTACCCGAGTAACATCTGACCATCCTGCTTGTTTTACTCTATTTAGCGAATTAAGTAACTGTTAACTGGTGTCCCGTTCGCGTAATCTCTTATCTAGACTGTTGCTCAGCATTTGTTAAATACTTCGAGCAGTAATAAGCATGTAGTATTATTTCTATTTCCCTCCCGAGATTTTATTTCTGGGCATGCTTAATGCAATTTTAAAGGAGAAAGAAAAAAACATCGGAGCGGAATAACATGAATCCACTTTGTTTCATCGTTTCTCTTCATCTGCGTGTAACCTGTAATATTTCATCCAACAAGTTATGATATAATTTTAACGTATTTCTGTTTATCAACAGGAACCAGTCCTCTGACAACATCAAAGTATTACAATATATATTTGCTTTTAGTATTAGGGACATCAAAAATTTCATGCAATTCTTCCCACTAATAAGTTATTGACAATTGCGAAAAATAACGAAACTTCCCGCCTTAGTAACTCTGCTTTTTACGGTCACATCGTTTTGTCTTCTCAATTTTCGTTTAACTTTCATTTTGATCCTTCGAGTTCTACTTACTGTGTTTTGTGTTATAAATGACATCACCGTCTTTCCATTGAATTCCTTACACACCAAACTTTATTTTTGTTTTTCGATCTGTTGAGTTCTACTCACCATGTCTTAGTATGTCGTTACGCAATTGTCAATGACTTATCAAACTGCCTAAGCGATGTTAATTTTTGATGTTCCTAATCCTAAAAGCAAATATATATTGTAATATCAATGGAATTACACTTCATTAAAGATGCTTAAATTATAATGATATAATAAAAATATAATGGGTTATTGAGGAACTTGAATTCTATTGTCGGTACATGGATAATACATTTTTGATTATGAAAAATGAGGAGGAAGCAAATAACATCCTGGATAAATTTAACGAGGTTCATTGAGAAAGAAAAATACTCTAGTATTTCATTTCTAGGCGTCCTTACGACCAGAAAAGAGGATGGCACAATAAGGAGAAGTGTATAGAGAAACCCTACATCAACTGGTCAGTATACTCATTTTTTCAGCTTCGTGCCCTTGAAATACAAACGCAATCTGATAAAGTGCGTGGTTCACAGAACAAGAGCAATTTGCTCGGATGAATATCTTGATGATGAACTTAATAATTATATTAAACGGTTGCTGAGTGAAAACGGTTATGCAGAAAGGTTTATTGATAAGAATATGAATTTAAAATCAAAGCTTCAAATCAAATGAAAGTTACCAACAGATCCTAAAAAGGCCTTATTCTTACAAATTGAGTTCCTCGGGGACGACATCAGCGAGATACTAACATAACGGCGTACAAATGCGGTAAAAAGAGCATTCTGTGCTGCTAAATTAGGCTGTGTCTTCAAGACCACTCCTCTTTTGCGTTTGGGAGTAAAAGACAGACTGCCTAATTTCGCCTCTTCCATGTGTGTAACAATCAGCATAAATGTAAGGAACCTGAAAGAAACAACCTCCTTTACCTACCTGGGAAGCATCGCTTCAACTACAGGCGGAACTGACGAGGATATCAAAGCAAGAATCGGAAAAGCAAGACAAGCTTTCACTACTCTAAAGTTTGTGTGGAGGTCAACAACACTCAGCATCAAAAATAAGATCCGGATTTTCAACTCCAATATGAAGTCAGTGCTACTGTATGGATCAGAGACTTGCACTGCGCGTCATAAAGAGCATCTCAAACAAACTACAGACCTTCATTAACAGTTGTCTTCGCTCAGTACTCAAGACCAGATGGCCGGTCAGAAAAGATCAGCAACAGAGATCTCTGGCAATGAGCGAACCAACCAGGAACCGATTGTGAAACAAATAGGCAGGAAGAAATGGAGATGGATTGGCCATACTCTGAGGAAACCATCAAATGACATCACTAGACAAGCCATTGCTCGAGTGGAACCCGAAAGGGAAGCGGCGAGTTGGTCGTCATTGCAAGGATGACTTGGAGGAGGTCATGTGAAGAGGAGATGAGAGCGTGTGGGCAGACTTGGAGCCAGGTGAAGACTGTAGCAGAGAACCGAACGCAATGGAGACGCACAGCTGAAGTCCTATGTTCCTCTAGGAATTAAAGGAAACAATAATAATAATGTGTATCTACCAATTTAACTGCTCCTGCGGAGCCAGTTACATAGGCCGTACAATTAGGCGTGTTTTTCTTTGGATTTTCGAACATCACCCTGTGTGGTTAAGTAAATGACAAACAAAATCTATTCGTAGCGCTATTCAATCTCATCTTGTGGATACAGAACACAAGATTGATGTCAACGAGGCAGCTTTCAAAGTCATTTACTGCATACCGACAAATCTTAACTTCGCCTTAAGAGTTCGTTTACTAAATATTGCTGAGGCCGTTGGGATCCATATTAAGAAGCTAGTTCAGACATTGTCCTTACCTTGGCCATCCAGGTTCGAATGATCCTCAATTTTTGTACAAATTTCCTTAATTTCAGTTGATATTCTATTATTATTATAATTTAAGCATCTTTAATGAACTGTAATTCCAGTGATCTTACTTAACAAAACGATGTTATTAAAAAAACACTAATATTGTTATTGACTACTATTCTAGAATATATTGTAATGTTTTGATGTACTATAATGTTGTCAGAGGACTGATTCCTGTTGATAAACAGAAATACGTTAAATATGTATAATAACTTGTTGTATGAAATGGACCCGTGTTATTCTGCTCCAATGTTTCTGTTTTCTCTTTTCAAGTGTGTGCAGAAGAATTGTTATGCGAAGTTTTTGATGCAATTCAATCATCTGTTAATTTTTGGTGTAATTTTCTTTTTTCTTTTTCAGTATCCACTTGCTGAGTGTGACGAGTGTTTTAATACCACAAGTAGTCAGAGTGTTTTCTTCTGCCGTGGTGTATATGATTATAAATTGAAGCGTATCACTCGATATCCTATATTCAGTAGTCAGTGCCTTTTATCTTCACATTTGAATAATAGACTAAAATGTAATGAACAGTTTCCTCCTACAACACCACAAAAAGATTCCACAGAACAAAATAATCAGATCGTGTCAAATGGAGATCATTGTTCTGAAATAAATACACCAGAAAAGATGACTACTAGTTCTAGAATTGATAACAGTGTTGAACCAGTAACTCCAGTGCGTGAAAATGTACCTTTTAGTGCATTCTCCACGCCTGCACCTTCCGCCGCTGAAAATGCAAACAACTTTACAATATCTCAGTCTGAATTCGCTGAACTTAACTGTCAAGCTATGAATAATTCCCATATAGGTGAACAATGTCAAGATATATCTTATGATAATGGTAAAGGCAGAACTTCAACTCCTGTAAAGGAAACTAATAATTACTGTCAATCTTCTATCACAAGGAATATGGAACCCGTTAAAGAATTGCCGCAAACACTAGTCACTAAGGTGAATTCTAATGAGTCTGTAGAAAAACCTCTTGTAATTAATATCTTGGATACAATTCCTGAAAGAAATTCGTCGACCCCAGCGATTTGTGTAACCTCCTCGTCAAGCGTGCAACCTGTTTTAACCTCACATCCAAGTGTATACAATAAACCGTTTGAAGTGAGAAAAGATTCCAATGTACCACTGCAATCTGGAACAGTTCCGTATGGAAATAAACCAGCCAATCAGTTAGTTTGTCAACCGAATCCCTCATCTATTCAGCCTATATGGCCAACAATTGTTACTACTAATCCATTGATAAACTATGATAGATCTGTCCTTGAAACTAGTGCTGATCTATCTGTTAACTGGGCTGAACATGGTGAGCAGATTGCATTATCCCTAGACTGTCGAGTTAAAGAGACAAATATTAACATTACGCCTGCTACTATTCATAATAATGGTAATTGTAATGGTCAGACCGCATCGCATACTGTTATTCATCCCGAGATGTTAACATCTACACAATCTTTTGTCGACATGACTAAGTTACCTGTACACGCTAATTCCTCTGTGCATTATTCAACCCTGAACTCGAAATGTCTTGATCAGGATCAACCACGTTTGGTAATCCTATGAAATAACAATCGGTAGTTGAATTGCTGCTTGTATAAAAATCTTATATACTGTATATTATCTTTCATCGCTGTGTGTGGGGGAAAAAGCATAATGCAATTATAGAAGACGGAAGCTTACCATTCCAACTGTGACCAAGTATCACATGCTCTTTTGGTGTGTGTGTATGGGGGAGGTGGTGATGTTTGCACCTTTAAACTGTTATTTAATTGGCATCACTGTGAAGTAGTAGATTTAGTACTAGTATTAGTAGTAGTAGTAATAGTAGTAAGGGTTATAAGAAGAAGAATAATAATAGTGTTTTTTTCTGTTTATTATTTTTTAGAGAAAGTATTGAATTTCCTATTTCTTCTTTTTTTTTAAAAAAAAAATCGATACACAATATCAGTAAATACATACGTGTAGAATACTTTGGTAGTTGTTGTAGTGAATTCCATCTCCACCGCTCCCCCTCCCTCCTATTCTCGCGCACACACGAATTACTTAACAAATCTACCTACTTACAGATTATATGTATAATTATTATTACTACCTGTTATTATATTGTCACTGTGAGTAAGTATTTCACTGAGTTAACGAGTCCTCTTTTTTTGATAATACCTATCTATCATTTGTATTAGAAGTCAGTCAGTCAGTAATGAAGGTTCTGCTGCTGCTGCTATGCTTCCCCATTTTTGTGTATAACTTTTCTCCTAAGCTATTTGTGAATTATTATTATTATTGTCATTATCATCATTATTGCCCTGATACTCTCCAACTTGTGTGTATATTTCTAAATCACTTCTGCATCTCTCAAGTAAAAAAATGAAGTCTCTCTAGCAGCAGCAGCAGCCTCTAGTATTTCCACTTTCAAATTTACAGTTTATCAACTGTCTTTTTCTCAACTACTATACACTGTGTTGTAATGTTATGTGTCTGCATAAGAATGAATAAAATGTATGATTTTTTGTATATTGTACACTTGAAATACCTATGCACGCACATATAAAACTGTTTCTTCTCTTTTTCGTGTGTGTGTGTATGTGTGCGTGCGTGCGTGTGTTTGTGTGTGTGTGTGTCTTGTTTTATTACACACTATTTCAATCTGCTCAGTCAATTCGCATTATGTATGTATGTATATATAAATATACAGATATATATTATTTCCATTACAATTAAGAATTCAATGTGTTTAACTATTATGATTATTTTGTGGAAAATATTTCAAAATATGTCGTCTCCTGTTTTGAAAAAGATTGTCATATTATCATCTATCAGTAAATCCGTGTGTATGCGTAAAACAACAAGTCTACACGTTAACAGTAATAATAATATATGATGTACAAAATTAACCCGTATACACAGACCTCATACACTTACAGCAGGCTAAGACTTGATGTACAGATATTTATGTTTTATATATATATTTTAATTAGTGTAAAAAATGGAGAAGAATTGCTTTCATCATTCTTATTTGATGATGGAGGTATGGTGAAATTGTGTAGTGAATATAACCTGCGGCTCCACATTTGTTTTAGTCGCTTAACCATCAATCATCACTGACTGGGTTACGGGTTCGAACTCCACTCCGTATACTGAGATTCGAGTAACCATGTAAAATCACACAAAAGCTGTGGATCATTAACCAATTCCATGGAAATATTAGTGCTTAGATGTTTGGAATTCAGTCTGCATCAAACAAAGGACAAAAGACGCCATGCCACTAGTTACTTGCTAACTAGTTTCCAGTCAAAGTATCTAGTACAGTCCTACAGAAGGCCAATCACAAGTCTGAATAGCTCAGTGGTAACTTCTCTGACTGTGGCACTGGGTGAGTCGGGTTTGAATCTCAGAGGGGACTGGAGTTCCTTCAAGATTATAGATACTCCCTGCTGACTTGTAAGTGCCAACAAGCACGGAACTTAGTTCTAAGGCTTCCTACCGATTGCCTCCAACTACTTGATAACAATTTAGAGCGTACTGTGATGATGAGCCACATTCCACACTTAAGTGATTGAATGCACTCTGTACCAAACAAACGACTAGATGCACACCATTAGTTACTACTATCTAGTGTCCAATGAAAAAACAAGTGCTGTTTGAGTAATGTAAGCCTTAAATACCATTTGTGTAGTTGAATGCAATAGACTTTCGATTGACAGGTTCCAGTGTTTTCGATAAGTTGTATTAATCCAGTTTTATGGTTAAAAGAGAGATGATACTGCAGGAGTGCCCTGTACCGATCCCCAGTTTAAGGATAAGAGGTGTATGAAATGCTTGGGCGTGTTTCAACCACTTTAGCCCCCAATGAGCAGACTGCTGACGAAATCCTATCATAAGTACAAACGGCTCGTGTAGTATTTACCAGCTTACGCTATCTCTTGAACAAATATGATATCCGTATAGAAGTTAGCTCTGTCCTTTTTCATGCTCGTGAGACATTTGTTAAAAGTAGAAGATATGAAGAGGCTAGGTGTTTTTGTTCATAGGTATTTGCGTTTTATGTACCGTTTTAGGTGATATAATATGATGTGTAATATTGAAGTTAGGCATAGGGTGTTAGGTAAGATGGTCAGTTTAGTCGAAAAAGTTGTGGGGCTCTGTATCTATTGAGATGATGTTGGAATGAGTTAAGCATGTCTAGTCATCACCTTCCTCGACGATTGGTTTGGAAAAGAGTTAAGGATGGCCAACTCAAAATATGATATCAATCCACGAAGTTTGACTGTTGGTCTGAATAACATAGAGAGATGCAGACTGGGGTTCTTGAGACTCTAAGGACCAAGAGTTAGAGAATGTCGGTGATATGGCTCGAAATCGTCCTTTTTGGCTGACATACATTCACTTTATAAACTCGTAAACCTATTGAATTCTCATTATTCTCCGTTTAGTTATTTTTCCCCCTACACATCTTCGTTCGTCATAGTTTGTTCCTCTAGTTATGTGTGTGATTTTGTAAAGTGTGGGACCGTGAGCTACTGCACTTTTGTGCAATGGTCTGTAGTACCCCTGTACCAACTATAAACATACGATTTTGATCTAATTTGCATACTCATGTTATATGTTTACACATACCGATTTTATATGTACGTCGTAAACATTTGTCAATTTACTGTTGAACGTTACCTTGATACAATTTTGAAATTTGACTACGGCTATAATACACGATTACACTCTTCACAGGTGCCTTCTGATTTTACGTTGTGGGCGTCGAGTAGCCACAACGTCTGCGCACATTGATAAACGTGAAGAAGTACTAGAAAATACGTGTACGCTAATTTAGTCAAATAGAACACGCAACAGGTCTACATTGGAAATTCAGTTCAGTTATTAGACTATTTGAAATAGACTTGATTTTGTAAAAAGAAAACTTCTTTTGAGGAATCAGTGATCAGATTCGCTTCTCGGCTCTCTGAGCTAAGATCGTGTGTAGCATCTGTTCTTTGCAGTGTAATTTCTGCAACGGTCTCTAAACTGAAACCAATGAAATTACCTGTATTTTTCCCTTACGGACGGGTACTGTGAGCTTGCTCAACCCCGTCCACGGGTCGGCCTCGTATTGCATTACCTCGAGGATTGCCCATTTTTGTGCGTCGGTGGCATAGTGGTTAGGACTCTCGCCGACCATGCACATGGTCCGGGGTTCGAACCCCTACCGACGCACACCCGATATCAATGGTCGGCCTGCAAAATTTGGGCTACCGATATCCATGCTGAAAATGCCATACTTGTACTAAAAATACGGTGTGGCATCAAGCTGTAATCAAAAATAAAAACAGAAACATGAGCTGGCATAGGATTCGAATAAACAATATTCATTAGACGATTCTGATTTGATACACAACAATCCTTTTTTAAAAGATAACTTTTATAAACATTTATTTTGTGGAATATTACTGACTGATATCAGTTAGAGAATCATTGAAAACCAGGGAGTACTGGACAGCTGCTGTTTCATCCTAGTTTGGGAATCATCGGCAGTACGCACCCACTGGGATTCGAACCCAGGACCTTCCGGTTACAAGGCAAGCTCGTATACCATTCAGCCACTGGGACCCGATTCAATGGCTCATGAATTCTAACTTCTACCAATTCGTGATTTTAGCGCGACCCCAACTATTGTCGTTGGTGGAACATCCATCCACACACGTGACTTCTAATTGCACCTCACTGGTCACGACTTCTCACTAGAACTCCAGGAAGCTCCAAACTATAGAAAATTATTCTGATGCTCGCTAGTGACTTGCTACAGGTTGGAGCTTCCTGAAGTTCTAGTGAGAAGTCGTGACCAGTGAGGTGCAATTAGAAGTCACGTGTGTGGATGGATGTTCCACCAACGACAATAGTTGGGGTCGCGCTAAAATCACGAATTGGTAGAAGTTAGAATTCATGAGCCATTGAATCGGGTCCCAGTGGCTGAATGGTATACGAGCTTGCCTTGTAACCGGAAGGTCCTGGGTTCGAATCCCAGTGGGTGCGTACTGCCGATGATTCCCAAACTAGGATGAAACAGCAGCTGTCCAGTACTCCCTGGTTTTCAATGGTTCTCTAACTGATATCAGTCCGTGATCAACTCGTAATAAATAACTAATCCTTACAAACCAAACTATAGAGAATGTTACTGAGCTGAAAAATGCAGATTCTTTCGAAATTCTATTCGTGTAACAGGAATTATATCTTTTTATTTAAGTTCTAATGTATTGTTATAAGCTGTCTGATAGACCTATATTAAGTGATTTAGTGATGAAATCTCATCACGGATACAAAAGGTTCCGAATTACGTCATCTTTCGCATAGACATGATATCCAGCTGTCGACCAAAGAACGTGTGTCCTCCGAAGCAGTTCGCTATGTCCTCCTTTATGGCCCCACCCCAAAAGTATGGCGGAGGTATGTAGATGACACATTCACTGTGGTTAGAACACAGGATATAGATAGATTTTTCGAACACATTAACTCAAAGGTGGAGGCAATTCACTTATAAATTGGAAAGTCAGGAAGGGGAACTTCCAATGTTAGATTTTAGCGTAAAAAGGAAAGATGGGAAGTTAAACACTAGTGTTTACAGGAAACCCACACATTCAAACAGATATTTGGACTTCCGATCATCCCATCCTATGTCAGTTAAAATAGGATTGGTGAAATGTTTAAATGACAGAGCACAAAAACTAAGTAGTACCAAAGAAAATCTAAGACAGGAAGTGAGGCATATAAGAGAAGCTTTGAAACTTAATAATTACCCTGATAAATTAGTCAGGAAATATGTAGGGAAATGTAAAAATGATAGTAGTGATAGTGATAATAATAATAGTAATGTTAATGACGACATGCATGTCAAACATGCACAAGACAACACCAACAATAAGGAATCTAAATCATCAGTCGTAATTCCATAAAAAGAAGGAACCTCGGAAACCTTACGCAGAATTCTTAACAAGGCAGGAATAAAAGTGGCTGGCATTCAGACCCGCAAACTCAATTAGAAACAAGCTTTGTCGGTTTAAGGATCCTGAGGGGCCTTTAAAACAAAACAATTTAGTTTATCTAATACCCTAACGGAATGATTGTCACGTCAAAGTAGTAGAACAGGGGCGGTCAGACCAGCCGAGCATAAAAGCCTAGCAAAATCTAGATTAGGATATGATAGAGAAGATTTGTAGCTCAGGTGGATGATTTTGATGTGGTTGTGTTCTCTGAGCTGGATACTTAATTTGCGAAGCTTTCATCACCCTACTAGGCGACATCTTCAGCGTATACTTCAATTTGAAGTATATGAAGTTGATTTGAAGTTAGGATAAATACGATTGCGACGAAAAGCTTTCCAAAACCCCTTCAGATATCTATGGTTATTTATACAATCTCTGAATAAACCAATCTTCGCACTGACTTCAGCAAGCAAACTTGACAGAATAGCGAAGAAACAAATTAAGTTCCTTCACTGTCAAAGGGTCTTTACTAATTTTCAATTTTTATACGGAAAATTACAATAAACAAAATGGGGAAGGAAGATATATATATATAGAAAATTACGAATCCGTATGACTAAACTGATATATTTATGGGCAATAAATCGTGCTTAAAATGTCAGCCAGTTATTAATTTTTACTTTTTGTTTTATTATAGTTTGATTCCACACAGTATTTTGGTACAACTGTGGAGTTTTCAGCATGTGATATCGCTGGCCCAAATTGAACAGACCGAACATTGATATCATGTGTGCGTCGACCGGGGATCGAACCCTAGACCCTATGCATGGTCGGCGAACGTCCTAACCGCTGTGCCACCGACGCACACATTAATTCTGAGTCACTGCGTTAAATCAAATAAACTTCGCTGATGATGAATCAAAGTAATTATCAAGGAATTTATGCTTGCATGACTCAATGATGCATTCATTATTTAGCAC